TTTGTCTTATCACTACATGCTCTTGTAAAAAGTCCCTCTCCAGCTTTCCTGTAGGCCCCTTTTAAGTACTGGAAGGCTGCAATAAGATCACCCCGGAGCCTTCTCTTCTCCAGGCTAAACAGCCCCAACTCTCTCAGCCTGTCTTCATAGCAGGGGTGCTCCAGCCCTCAGATCATCTTCATGGCCCTCCTCTGGACCCGCTCCAGCAGCTCCGTATCCTTCTTGTGCTGGAGACTCCAGAGCTGAACACAGTATTCCACGTGGGGTCTCACGAGAGCAGAGTAGGGGCAGAATCATTCCCCTCGACCTGCTGGCCATGCTCCTTTTGATGCAGCCCAGGATACAGTTGGCTTTCTGGGCTGCCAGTGCACATTGCCGGCTCATGTTGAGCTTCTCATCCACCAGCACTCCCAAGTCCTTTTCCTCAGGGCTGTTCTCAATCCATTCTCTGCCCAGCGTGTACTTGTGCTTGGGATTGCCCCGACCCACGTGCAGGACCTTGCACTTGGCCTTGTTGAACTTCATGAGGTTCTCACAGGCCCACCTCTCCAGCCTGTCAAGGTCCCTCTGGATGGCACCCACCTCTCTCTAACTGCAATTTATTGCTATTTTTAAAGCCTTTTACTACTGCTCAGTTTGGAGGCAAATACCTCTTGGAAGGCTGGTGACTAGCGGTGACGTCATACGTGACTGTGATGGTGGCATTTACGGGAATTGCCACTACAGCAATTAGGTTCATTGCTGCTGCGTAACCCCGCGCTTTAAAGGTGGAGAGCAAAGGGCATCCAAATGGCCTCGTCCTATTTTTCCTCATATAGCCCAGTTCAGTGCTGTGAGGCTTCAACAGTAGGCAAAAGCCCCCTGATTTTTGCAGTGCAGCTGGGAGGGCTGGTGAGGGCGAGCAGCGGTGCATGGCAGGGACGCAGGGAAGCTGCGGTATGAGCCTGTCTTTTGAATGATCCCGTGAATCTGTGTTGTGCTGCTCTGTTCACTGAGGCTGTCTCTCCTAGGCTGACTGCTGGGGGTATTTCTGTGGGTGAGGGGCTTTTGTCAGCACAACTGGCAGAGCACCATAGCAGCAAACACATGCCTCCCACATCTTTTCCTGTCAAGCAACAGAATTAGCATTTTTACCATAGTTAATCAAAAATACACCCTCCCAGCTGCCCATAGGCCTTTGCTGGGTGCCCCCCTAGCTTTCCACAGCAGCCAGGTGCAAGAGCAGCTTTTTGTGCAGTGCTGGTGGTTTTTCTTCCTTTCCCCACATCTGGCTGAACGACTTGCATCCTCTTTACAAGAAACATGCCACTTCTACCTTATCCTCTTGAACAATAGCGAGCAATTCCCCTTGGCAAAAACATCCAGTGTGCTCAAAATTGGCAATTTGGAGAAGCTAAAAGTAATCTAAATAGACTGAGAAATAAGCTGCATTTATTTAGACATCCTACGGGGAGTTAGGTACTGAACAGAGAGGTATCTGTATCTGAAAGTCGGCTTGAGGGCATGTGAAGACCCCTCTCATCCCCAACAGGAGCAACAAACCCCATTCCTCTGCCACAAGGTGCTTAGTTCATGGCACAGATGGAAGCAGAGAGGATCCGGGGGCAGCTTTAACAGAGGCGAGCTGCTCAGAAACAGGTCACATCACTGCTGCAACTGGGCAAACCCACTGCTGCTGGGATGTGGTAGTAAATAATTGTAGTAAAATAACTGTCATCAGTTGTAACAAAACACATGTGGCTGAATCATCTCAGGCTGCATGCACCAGCTGCACAAAGATTTCCTGGATCACCGCGCTGGAAAGCACCTGCACTGACCCTGGTGCTAACTCCTGCCTAAATCCTCTCCTGCCCGCTGAACAGGGCCTCCAGGTCACTCAGAGAAGGTGCAGAAAAAGTTCTCTCTTTTGGAAAAGGCCAAGTTTTTTGGCCCTCACTCAGAACATCCTGCTGCGTTTACCAAGACCCTTTCACTCCAGATACAGCATTAAGAAGAATTTGCAATTTGCTGTGAGATACAGACCAGGAGTTTTGTTCATACAATCCGTGTTACTCTTTATATAGAAGGATTGATCTGCAATGGTGAGCTGGTCTTTCCTACTTTGTCCTTTGTACTTGGCACACACAGAACACTTCCCAGTCTTCAAACTAATCAAGCAATAAACATACTTGCCTATAAGCATGCGACGAAACTCTTCCCTATCTGATGAAATGCTGGCATGTGGTTAAATCCTACCGTCACTGCTGGGACACTCCTCCTTTTTGCTGACCTGCTTTCGTAAACAGGGACAGAGCCCAGTGCTCGTCTATACGCTTTGGATTTAGATTTAACATTGATCTCAGCTTCCCCCTTTCTTTGATAACACAGACAAAACCCTCCTCCAATACCACAGGAAAGGCAGTTCTTTCTGTCCTGACCACACGTAAAACCAGAGGCAACTGACCCACACAGAAATGCCTCTGCCCATGTCCTCTTTGAAGGATCCCACAGTACAGCAGAGTCACGCCCTTCGTTCACATCATCCAATGGATCCTGTACAATCAAGATACTGGCTGCTAACGAAAGGGAGAAGAACATCATTCATGGACTTGAAATACTGATCAGCACGGGGAACAGCTAGTTCTTGTGCTTTACCTGTTACACTATTTTGGATACTGTAACTAGAGTTTTCCTTAAATATAGCTCCTTAGGCAGCTGTACTTCCCATGAGCATCCATTCATTTCCTCCCTACAGTTGAGATAAGCTGCGTACTACCACCCACAAGGCTGGTTATGGATCAGACAGGCATGAAGTTGCATGCATCATCACCATGAGATCACGTAAGTGCAAAGGATACTGCCCTAGGCATCCATAAAGATCTGTTTTTCTGCAAGTCCACACTGCTGTTTCTACATAGTAGATAAGGGGTGAGGCATAAAAAGACACTGCATTTGTGTGCTATGGCTGGTGCACCAAACTATGTCTTCTCAAGCACATTTGTGGTGCCTTTCCTGCCCTGCAGTTTCGAGAAAATACAAGTAAATGTGAGCAGGGACCAGAAACCTCTTAGCCCACACAGCTGATGACTGCCTAGCACTAGGTCCCCTTCCTCTGAGTAGCTGTTGCTCACTTTTGATAGGGAACACAACAACCTCCGAAGTGCTGGGAAAGGATCTGGGGACGCACAGTATCTGTAGGACGCAAGTACTTCTACCTGCTCCTTGACAGAGGGCTCCTCATTGCCTCAGGTTTACCTCCAGGGAGCAACCACACAACAAATCAGCATCTGAACTGCTGTTCTCACTTGGGGTTAGGCACTTTAGAGGATGCATCCTGTGGTCCTTAGTGTTTCACTGAGCTGAGCTACCTTATAAGCTTACTTGTAGGCACTGCGCCTTCGAGCACTGCAGGGGAGAAGGGAATATGGAAGGATATGTGCCCTTTGGTGAAACTAGCTTATGTACGCACTACAGAGATGGTGGGTTAATGGCTAAGGAATTGTGTTATTTGTTATGGTCATACAAGCAGCCACCTTGAATCAAAAGCATAGTCACATTCAGGGGAAGGATCTATACCTGGACCCTGTATCTCGACTGGGTTTCGATGACTCACGTTAACAGTGCAGTAAAGATAAGTGGTAAATATACTTCATTAATAAGGTCTCTTTCAACACCCAGCTCAGGTCAGAATACAGTCTATGAGCTCTCAATCTGATCTTTGGTGAGAAATGTTAACAACTTACATTCTTCAGCTTTTTCCAAGGTGATTAATATGAATTAACACACCTAGGCGAGGAAACCTGCCGGGTCTGAATGACTCGAAACTAAATGGAAGCACACAAAACACTTCAACGTAAGTGATCTTTGCTCTGCTAGGATTGAAAGCATCATGTTTTTCTCTCCCTTAAATGCAACTGACTGCAGTAAGCCTTATTTTCCAATGTACTGAAAACCTCCACAGCTCCTATAGAAGTCAAGGTAGGCTGTGGAGTCTTCAAAACTACGTCACCCCTGCAGTGTCCTTAATTCAGGTTCCACCTGCCCAGCCACGGCTATAGCATTATTTCTCCTTCTCATATTCCTCGTAAAGAGCATGCTGAATTCCCAGCTCATCTTCTTCTTCCCTGTGAACAATTATTTAACATTATATTGCTGTTTCTACAGGCATTTGAATCCCTGCAGGGAAACAGAGCCCCATAAGATCCTATAGGGAAGCACTACAATGACGTGTAGTGACATCACTTCTGAATGACACTGGTTGACAAAACAACAACATACTCAGACTCTTCCCTATATACAAGAAGTTTTCAAAGCAGCGCACAGATCAACTATGTCTTTTTTCAGTTAAAATTGTAGTAGTATGACTAACTTCCCCGTATTCCTTGGAGGCAATCTACCCATGAATTCAGCCAACATTGCCAGGCACCAGGCTTCAGCAAGGACCCCTCCACCTGGAGAACTTCTACCAGTAGGAAGGTGAGGGCCAGAGGACAAGCCAGCTTCCCTTTCATGTACAATGCAGAAAGCAATGCAGCAATGGAAAAGGGAGTGGACAAACTTGCCCTACCAAAAGCAGTTGCACAGTGAATTTTTGCATGAAGGTTGACTAAGAGGACAAGCACAGTCAACAGTGAACAAGATCTGTAAACAAAACACTCCCTAGTGGTATTCGTTGCAGAGTGCTGGGCACAGTTCCTCTGCCTGTACTAATCCATGCTTGCCATGCAGTGTAAAGAGTGAAGAAGCAGCACAGAACAAATTCGGAGTACACACGTTAACCTCCATCTGGGTCTCTCAGTGATGTGCACCTTGAGCTGTTCCCTCCTTCTTGTCCTTCTCTCTTCTGCTCCACAAGTGTAACTGTTCCTCAAGGCAGCAATGCTTGGCACGAAGTTCAAAATCCTTCCTGTTAAATGGGAAGAGTAAGATCGGTGTGGGCTGAACTGCCCAGGAGACAGATGGTACCTGGGGATCAAGGGCCACAGAACTGTGTCAATCTTCCACTCTCTCTCCACTCCCCACTAAAAATAGTCTCTTCTTCTGGTTTCGTCACTAATGAAGGATGGATTGTATTGTCCAGGGTAGATGCATGAATGTCGAGATCCAGGCAAACCAGTGTAAGGAGGATAAAGTCCGTTTCTTTCCAGTTCAGGATTTCTCAGTCCAGTTGGCTGTATTAGCAAAAAAAAATAAATAAAAAGGGTCTTATTCTCACACTCAAATCCTCCTTTAGGCACAGCCATACCACCTATCCCAGCAGTTCTTTCAGTAGCTAGAAGGAACAACGTGATCACTAATGATCTGTATAACCTGGAATGATTTTTACTGTGGGAGTTATGCATTGCCTGAAGGGATTATTCTGATATAGTCTAGTTTCGACATCTTGCCAATTAGCAGACTTGACATTTACCTGACTCCACCAAGTGCAGCCTAAGTGCACAGGTAATTTGTAATCCAAGAGAACTGTGCTGATGAGCTCAGGCATTGAAACAACTCTCACAAAAAGGATAGTGTCCCAGAGCCATCCTTGAAGGAAATGCTTCTAGAAAATCAAAGTTAGTCTCCTGCTCTGAGTATTACCTGGGAGCACTTCTCTCCCCATTAACCATAGGCACCTACTCTCCCAACACAGGCACTTGAATATACATATATCAAATACAAAGCGATCTGACTTTCCTTTCTCTTCGCTTCTCTTACTTCAGTAAATCTCCTGGGGACACTTGGTTGAGGAACTTTTATGTCTAAGACAAAGACTGTACAATCCTTTCACCCAGTAAATAACATCAAGCCACCTTGTTTGATCTGTTACAGAGCAGATCCATACAAGGCCCTCATCACCTACTCCTTGCTAAAAAGCTTGCCTTTCTAGTCGCCAGCATAATAAAAGTCTTAAAAAATGTTAAGGAAATGCATTTTCATTTCCTAATCTCTCATTCTTACTGGAAGCAAGAAGGAGGATTATTTCACATCATGCTGTGCAACCCAGTAAACTTGCTTACTGGAAAACTTAAACTACTAGCAAGAAAGAAGGTATTGCTCACTGCTCTCTGCTCTGGAAAGCAGGAGTCCAGAATGTGTGATTTGGGTGAAATTCTACAACCTTCACTCACATGAGTAACCCCCACACACCTTAAGTACACCCAGTATGCTGCTGTAGATTAGTGATGGATGATACACCAGCATCACAGCACCGGATACAGACATTAGCAGATGGTGCCAAACATGACAGCAGTTCTTGTGCTTGTGTCTTTCTCTGCCCTACACAGCTCATTACTCCTCCAATACTTTTTCCCTGCCAGTTGTTCCCCCAGAGCTGAAGGGATGCTCCTCATACAGCCTTCCTGCTGTACTGCAGAGGGGAGAAATGGAAGAAAAGAGAGGTCCTCAGTGACCAGCATCTTCCATCTTGGGGTCAAGTCCCTCAGGCAGAGGTCTCAACCTTCCAGCATCATCAGTTAGGGTGGAAGGGAGAAAAATACTCACAGGGCAGCCTGTCCAAAAAAAACCTACTAGCAGCCTGTCCAAATCTTTTAACTCTCTCTCTCTACTCTAGGATCAGGCTTTTTGGGCATCTACCAAACTGTTCCTAGACATTTCCCTAGCACTCTTCCTAATGACACCTCTTTTACATCACGTGTAATAATTACTCCAGTAATAGCTGGAGTCCACAGAACTACCAATGCCTTGCTGTCTATGGAAGCCATTTGCTTTGCTCTTTTATTTTGCAGGAATGAGTTCTGTCCTTCCAAAAATAAAGGAACGTATCTCTGCTGTATCGGACACAAAGGGTTAATAGTTAAGCTATGGATAGATACCGAATAATATACATCTGTCATCTGCAACAGGTTCTTGGTGCTGCCATTCTCCTGCATCTCAATGGTCTCTCTGCCCCACTCTTGTGCCCGGGGGTTCTTCGGATATTCAGCATACGGTGACATCTGGAAATCCCCACTCTTGAAAATGAGTTTACTTATGTCATTTTTATTCTTCCTGTTTAGAAAAGAATGAAGGAAAGTTAAAACATACAACTTATCCTGCTACATTGTATACATTTCTGATGTGATCTCAGGAGATATACTTCATGTTACGAACCTTGACTGGGAACAAATATCACCTCAGAAAGGCTATAGTCTGATCTTCTGCTCCAAGGCAAAATCAGATATGAGGTCAGATCATGGTGAGGTTTGAAATCTCCAAGGATGGAAATGGCATAACTTCTCTGAGCAACCCATTCCACTGCCTTACCGTCCTCTTGGTGAAAGAGTTTT